CCAGCTACGCCGGTATTCTGTTCGGCATCACCAACACTGCGGCCACAATACCTGGGATGATCGCGCCACTCGTGGCAGGAGCTATGACGCCCAATGTGAGTTGTCTTACCTGTACATGTACTTCCACATATCATGTGGGTTTTCTTACCTGTACTTCCGTACATAATGTGACTTTTCTTACCTGTACTGCAACACCTAATGTGAGTAGTTTTTCTTACCTGTATATTTAACAACAAGTAAATATGTAAATTGTCTTACCTGTACTTCAACACCTAGTGTAAACTTTCTTACCTGTTCTTCAACAACTAATGTAAACTTTCTTACCTGTACTTCAACAACTAATGTAAACTTTCTTACCTGTACTTCAACACCTAGTGTAAACTTTCTTACCTATACTTCAACACCTAATGTAAGTTTTTCTTACCTGTACTTCAGCCCTGAATAAAGTTTTCTTACCTACCTGTCCTTCCACACCTAGAGTAAGTTTTCTTACCTACCTGTCCTTCCACACCTAGAGTAAGTTTTCTTACCTACCTGTCCTTTCACACCTAGAGTAAGTTTCCTCACATTTACTTCCACATCGGGAGTAAGTTTTTTCCACCTGTATTTCAACATTCTAATTCCTACAAAACCTAAAGACAGTGGGGTTGAAAACACGTAACATTAGGCAGCGATTAGATAAGGTAATAAATATTTAAGATGTACTGGAATATATATTTGAATGTATTTTTATCAGTCATGGGGTTCGAAACTTAACGTTCTGTATTCTGAAATATGAAATGCAAAGGGGTGTACAGATTTGGGGAAATGTAAATGTGTTTTCTTTTTCGTATCAAGAGCTAAAAGCAACGCCAAAGTTCTAGGTTTGTACTCGTATCTTTGTAGGGTTTGATTATAATCGCTTTATTCAGCCCAATGCCCAGTTGCTTTCTTCTATCCAATGCCCAGTTGCTTTCTTCTAATCCATCCACTCAACGTTGAGAAAGATGACGACAAAACAGTTGTATTTACGTGGTAAAAGTTTCTTTTTTGACAATTAATTTCCCAACTTTGTGTGAGATATTTGTAAGTTAGGTAAAAATGTGCCAAAATAGCAGCACGTTGTAGGTAAGAAAAGAACAATCATGCTCCTTCCCGTGTTTTCAGAGGAGCGCCGAGGAGTGGCGGTCTGTGTTCTACGTGTGTGGGGCGGTGGCGGCAGTTGGCGGGATTATCTACGTCATCCTAGCAGACGGGGAGCTGCAGGAGTGGGCGGTACCGCCAGACGTCAGTGGGAACACGGGGATGACGTATCCAGCAGACGGCAAGGAGGAAGAAGGGAGCCACAGCAAAGATGGCGAGGAGTCTGAAGACTGCGATATTGCCCATCCTATCAGCGTGACAGAACGGAACCAATTACAGACAAAGGCCTGACGTGTTGGTTCTTTTCTTGAGATGTTGCAATGACCTGTTTGCTGAGTGTTTTTTGTTGATTTGGAAGTAAAGACTGACGAAACCTTAAGAGAGAGAGGGGGAGAGAGAGAGAGAGAGAGAGAGAGAGAGAGAGAGAGAGAGAGAGAGAGAG